AGTATTTGGCCTAGCTTCTCCTCCGATATGAGGCGTGCGTGATTTTGTCACACAAAGTAAAGGACAGTTTTACGCCGACTCCGAACGGCAATTGTATTTTAATGAGAAGTTGTGTCCATGACAGAATACACTCGGAGGTTTACTATTACGAAAGAGGGGCAACAATTATTAGAAAAAACTGGGCTTGAACTCAGGCTCTGCGTAAAGCTCTACAGCAGCCGCCCCTCCTTTATATATATTGCTGGTATATTCAAAATACTATCCCGAACTTCGGAGTGTATATGTAATATAAAAAAGAATGAGAGGTACATAAGAAAATGTACCCAAAATTCTGGAGCAAATGAAAAAATGCTCATTGAAAATAGTTCACATGTATAAATTAAAAGATATAACTTAATAGGTTACAGCGCTAAACAAAAGGAAAAGTTAAAAAAAATAGCAATGGGGTTTGAAGGAAACATGAAGCCATAAAATGCTTGTTTGTTTCGTTAATTCTCTGAACTTTGTAAGATATGGCACTCTATTATTTGCAGTAGTTAGCAAATATTCACTAATGGTTCTAAAATCGCAAACATTTTCGTGGGATGTTTTTGTTTGATTTCGAATTGAAAATACATTACGATCATATTGTACCGAAATAAGTGCGGTATCCCTGCATTTTGTAAAAGCCAGAAAGAAGCATAAACTGTATGAAAAAATGAAAAGGAGAAGTATACATGCCTTCTATAATTTTGACTTATACTATGTTCAAATTGACGAGTTAAACATGTTAAATGGGCTTGAACCAGTTAAATGAACAAAACATGTTCATAAACAAGTTAAATCGCATGCAATTGTTGTTGTAAAATTGAACCAGTTAAATCATTTAACTCGTTGGAAAACCAGTTCAGCGCAGAGTTGTATCAGAAAGCTTTCTGCTTCAGCCAATCAGAATGAGCCAAAAGCTTTCATTTGACACGCCAAGAGGGTTAGAGTTTCACTACGGTCGTAGTAGATTTACTACGGTTTCAGAGAAAATTTTAAACTTACTACGCTACTCCGCTTTACCTACGATCTGCTACGTTTTTAATTCCAAAATAATAAAGTACGCCTTTTGCAGTAGCTAAACTAAAAAACGAAAAACATAAAATAAAATTGTTTTTCTTTTTAATGCAAACATGAATTGATGAATTCAGGTGATTTGTAAGGTATAATATAAATAATATTAGACTAATTTGTATTTTTATGTTAATTCCAAAATAATAAAGTACGCCTTTTGCAGTAGCTAAACTAAAAAACGAAAAACATAAAATAAAATTGTTTTTATTTTTAATGCAAACATGAATTGATGAATTCAGGTGATTTGTAAGGTATAATATAAATAATATTAGACTAATTTGTATTTTTATGTAGCACATACTATATCTAAATAAAAATATGCCTCTTAAAGGTGTTCTTTCTGGAAAATGGCATTAATTTCGTAATTTTTTCACGATAATAATAGTTGAAATGGTATTTTAAAGATAGTTTTATCCTCTCTTTTGCTAATATATGCAACACTTGCTTAAAATATTAGATGATAACTCTGTCATTAAAAATCCATTTGGTTCCTTACTTTGGCTAAAGAGAGAGGTTTATAGGGTAAATTTCCAGGGAAACAATTGGACGATAGCGTAACGCATTGTTTTTCCAGGGAAACAATTGGACGATAGCGTAACGCATTTTTCGGTGAATATAAAATAAGGATCGGCACCCATTTTTGCATACTTAACTGAAAAAAATGTCTCTTTGGATTATGACGTTCTCCAGTAAACGAGCGACCTATAAAAATACTACTATGGAACATTATTTTATACTACGATTTTCCGATTTAAGCTTGCCGGAGTTCTAACCCTGCACGCCATTTATTTGAAATCGACCGTCAAAGTAAACTCGAAATGTTCAATGTGGACGATTGTGTTTTACAAAAACCTTTTTTTTATTTAACAAGTTAAATGGGGCCAATTTGAACTAATATTATATGTATATTTGGCAAGTCTTTGTGTAAACAACAAAAAATATAGATTTTCATTTCTTTGCCAGCTTGGAAAATATAGGCTTATTTTTACTGAAATGTGATATAAAGCTCATTAAAATGTTCTGTAATGTCTTGTATTTAAGTTTGTTATCATAGAGCCTTGTCTTTTTATTGTCCACTATACGTGAGTTGCTTCTATTTAAAAAGTTCTTGTACAATTAATTTCTTTGTTTTGAATTTGTTTTTTTATTGTTTTTAATTTTTAAAATTCACACTTTTAACATGTATGTGAATGGCGGAGTTACCGCTTTCCTACTTTTCGGTGGCATTTTATATTAAAAAGGCATTAAAATGGGAAAACCCCTCCTGGGTATCTCTGCATCTGTTGAACTTTTTATGGGAAGATGTATGAAAATCCAACTTGCTATAATTTCATATGCTTAACAGTGTCACAACAGTATGTTTACAGTATGTTTACAGTTTCATATGAAAAAATGTATTATATGCGTCCCACTCGATATCATTCAAATCCTTATTAGAACATGTAGTCCCTCTATTTTAGCGTATCAACAGTTCATATGGCTTAATACCATGTAAATGCACCATAAAACTTTTTTTTTATGTTTATGCAAATATTTTAATCTTAAACTGTTTTGTCATTTGTTTCAAAAAAAAATTCTTTGATAAACTATTTTTATTCATAAAAAACTCCATTTTTGGATGTTTTTCAAATCAGTCCAGCACACGTAGATCTTAATATTTTTCCGAAATATTTAGGTGCAAGTCTTAAGATGTAATAGATTTTATTATTCCAATGGAAACTCCGTACCGATTTTGGTTTGTATGGGGAGTGATGCAGTCTAATGTACATACATATTTAAGAACGAAAATTGTATATTATTGAGAGAAAATAAATAAACGAATTTAGCAGCTCATGTATATCTTGCCAACAACCTTATTAACTGTAATGTCTCTCATAAGCTAATTATTTTATACTCACCACAGGTATATAAAACATACCGACTTGCTAAAATCACATATTTGTACGATACATATAAGCCAGGTAAGGTAATTAAAGTGGTTAGTAAGAAGGCAGAACCGAGCACAATTGCACTGAATTCGACACGAATACGATAAAACCCTAAGTTTGTAGTATTGTACAATGGAACCCAATGTGACTAACAAAAATATCACTTGTTCGAGTCAATGATCTTTAAATTTACGAATGTGCATGTGAGTAGCGGTACAAGCAACGCAGCGTGAAGTTCAGTACGAAGTTTAAAATCAAGCGATTAAGAATTGTACGCGGAATATCCGCCTGAAGGAAGGTGAGATTTGTTCGACCGCACTTGGCCGAATTATAAATTTAAATATAATCAAGTACATAAATATGTACATAGATGTGATAGAATTTATTTGAAAATATTAAACAGTGTGTCACGTTTTGGATATATATCGTCGCTGGAATAATGAAGCAGTGTAACATAAAAAGTATAGTTTTGAGAAAAACGAACTAGACATTTTTATAATGCAATCGATCATATTTAAACTTTAGTTGAGCGCTTTTTATTCACAATACTTACATTTTAAATACGCCACACTTTTTATTGATAGCTGTTAATATACACAAAAATTGTGTACCATGTTTACTTAGAAATACCATTTGATTCCATTTTCCTGAAAGCATCTGCTTATACACTATTTTATCTTTGAACATTTTTATATAAAATCATTGTACACTATTTTGCATACACAGAATAAGTAATTTTTAAGCAAAAAGCAAACCCGACTTCAATTCTCATATAAAAATTTAAAATTATCGTTAATGTCTTCATGATTTTATGATCGTATTTAAACCAACTTAATATGGAGCCTGTGAGGTAACATCCTTCATTTAAAAAAATTATTATATCGCTTAACGTCGTCCAAAAATATGCGGAAACATACATAAAAAAAAAAAAAACATATTTTATGTAAAGTCTTTCGTAACAACAAAGATTATCATTGCTTTGTCTAGAGTATTCACCATATTGTATTTATTTATGGAAACTGAAAGACTTGCCTCGTAAGGCCCTAAAGTTCAGAATTTGCATGCAATTTTTCACAAAGTGGTCAAAATTGCCTATAAGTCAGTGGGAAATTTAATATATTTTAATGGCCTTCGATGAAGTTTTGCCACCTGACGTCAAATATGGCTAACCTATTTTTAAACCTCCCCAACTGTTAAAGTTATTGAGGTTTTTTCCACGTAAAACTACAGTTTCTAGGTATCCAGAAGTTAAATTTTAGCAAAGTAAATTTAGATCAAATTGGGACGAAGAAAAGAAATTGAAGACGCGAAATTTTGATGCAGTTTACAGTATATTTTGCTTTGCTGCCTCTATGCTTAAGTGCACATTTAAGATACCTACCTCAAAATGCGCATCAGAGGCATTATTTTTAAAATTTATAAGGAAACTGCTCCTATCGATGCATTCAACATACCTGCACATTGGCGATACCTGCCTTAAAAATTGTGCGACTAGTATCAATTATCAATGAAAGTATTACGTTTACCTGCCCTGGCCCTATTTTGCTCATCTCGCAGAACAACGAAAATGGCTATTTATGTAGTTATATAGATAATTAGATAGCAATCGGTAAAAATTTCGCTTGCAGTAATTTCTGCATGGTAAGGGCTCCGCCAATATTTGGTTTCATAGGGATTCGGATACCTTCCTCATTGAAGTAGTAAAGAAAATTCGCTTAAGTGCCTTTTTCGGTTACGTGCACAAGTTTTTCGTGCAAAGAATGATGTGCAGCTAAGCAAAATATACTGTACTTCTATTTGACACGTAGATTATGGATAAACAGCCATCTTGGATTTCATATTTTTTTGGGTTTTTGCGAATTGCAAGCTTTACTTCATAAATTCATACATTTTAGGTGAAAAAATATATCAATAATATAAAAACAAAATCTTATTTAAACAGCCAAAATCTTGCTGACCTGCTCCGGCGTTTTACTAAATATAGACTCTGGATTGTCGAAATCGTTTGCCGGATCGTGAACACGTTCGTATATTTGCTTGTATATAGCGACGATAACGTTGAAAGCTCGCTTTTGCACAGAGTTGCGATGACCACTGGACATTAACAACTGGCAGCAGTAACATTTCTGGCATTTCTAAGAAAGCTTCCATTTTATTCATGAATATTTTAAGTAAATTCGCCTCAATTTTGGTTTGATTGTTTTGTAGTATTGTATAGATCGGACCTAGATTTAGATTGGCCACCAAAGAAGATGCTTGTTCAGAAATTAGCGTGTCGATTTGTGCATCTGACTGTGCTTGTAAACGCTCTACGCGTTCGTCCATGTATTCGTACACTGCCAATGAGCTTTGCATATGATAGAGACAGTTTAGAAGATAGACAGCCATATCGATTGTAGGTAAATGTGAAGCCGACTCCTGTACTGATTGCAACAGAGGATCTATAACACAAGATACGATCTTTGTAATGTCTGTTTGTCGACCATCGACCATGGTAGCTACTGATAGGATCTCTTTGAGCATGTTCAAAAGGCGACCAACACTCGCTGGTGGTACCAAATCCCGCTGCGGCGGTTCAAGACCTAAATTGGCGCTGGCTGGACGTTGTAGAATGCTGCGGACTTGTTTGGAGAGCGAGTTCAAATAAATCTCCTCACTAGACTTTTGTAAATCAATAAGGGTTTGCTCAAGTGCACCTCCTTTGACCACTTGTTTTATAATTTGTTGGTAGAAGCGTAATAAGTTCGATATCGCAAACAAAACGATAGTATCCTTTTCTGAAGTCAATATGGCTTATTTTGCATTTTTCGTAAAATGCGGTTGTATACAAATTTGTAGATAATTTAATTTCCCAAATTTTTTTATTGTACATAATTAGAAAAAAGTGCGAAAAATTTTTGCATTGCCACGGTTTTCGTCATTTTTCAAAAATTTCTGTTAAAAATTCGTAGCATATTCAAATGCCAAAGTTGTAGGGAATTTTTCTCTCTTAGTGTTGGGTTCTCCGGTGGCACAACATTTGTAAAGCAAAATCTAATTTACGGCTAGTTTAGATGTCATATTTGAGACGTCATGTTGGATTTTTTCAAAAGGCCTCACGCCTTTTTCCCAAAAAAAACCTCAATAACTTTAAAAGATTTAAAAATATTGTAGCTATTTTTGACATCGGGGACAAAACTCCATGAAGTGCCATTAAAATATATGTGTTAAATTACCCACTGACTTATAGGCAAAATATTGACCACTTTGTTAAAAACTCCATGAATTTGCTGAGCTTTAGGGCCTTTGAGGCACAACTTTCCGTTATCCGATTTTAAAAATTTGTATGACCTACTGAACCTTTCTGGGGGGGGGAGTCTTGCTTTGTAGGACAAGGTTGCAAAATAATGCACAGTCTACTGCACATGCATAATGATATTCACTGAATTATTTTGCAAAACTATAACTAAATAGGGGAGCGAGGGGTGTTATCTTATATATTATTTCTCTAAGGTGTTTTTTTGTTAGTCTCCCTTTTTCTACTTTTCTATGTAAGCAATTCCACTAATGAGGTGTCATTTGAAAAGCCAGAGGTCCCCTGAGTGGTTATTAGGTAATATTAATGGTCATAACACCTCTGAAGTAAAGAAATTTGTAATTGTTAAGCCACACTAAAGGTATTTTGTACTGAAGCACCATTGTAACTGCAGCATCGCATACACCGTATACGACAGTGATGGGCGCACACATAATTCAATAATTAATAAACTATCAATCAATAATAGATAAACTGACACCGGTTCTCGCACCGCTCCCTTAGCCGTGGCACCGTGTTGCTTCTTTTCAAATTAAAAAAATTGTAGCTTCCCTGTGGGGAAAATCTCTAGTTCTGAACTGGTGCGCCTCTAGTACATTTAGACCCAGTACTGGTTCGCGATAAATCTCTTTTGTATGCAAGCAACTGGCGAATTTAATATGGCGATGTCTTAGGAAGTGTCAATTGCCCCCGCTGCATCCCTTTTTCGATAGTTCCGAGCTAGACCTAAATTCTATAGTTCCGAACTAGTTCGAAAATCGACAGACGAAAGAAAAAAATATCATGATTCTTCAATCTTTTTGGTTCATCCGTGGCGCGATAAGTTATTTCGGAAAAAATGTATTTTCAATTTGAAATTAAATTTGTTTGAATGAAGAAATGTACGTTTACATACCTTTAGCTGTAGCTGAGTTTGCAGAGGCGCTCGCTGTTACCCTGTAGGGAAACCCTGAACTGGTTAACCAAATTTGTAGTTCCGTACTAGATCTTTATCGCCAAAAACGAACCAGTCCGATAGTAACTGGATCGCCACCAATTCAAAAGCAGCGATATGTGGTACTTTTAAAAAACAGTTTTAGAAATCTAAATCTAAAATGACGAATTTAGAACTGGTTCAAAACTATAGAAAAAGGGATGCAAAACGAACTAGATCTCATCTGGCGAACTTTGAACTGGTTCGAAACTACTGAAAAAGGGATACAGCGGGGGGCTTGTTTACTTTAAATAGACTTTTGCTTGGCGGGGTTTTCGTTCAAATACGCTTTCAGTCTGCACGTCGCAGATGCTTTTTCATAGTTTGGTAATACAAAACTAATATTTGTGTTAACATCTTAACATTTAGGACCTTCTGGAATATAACCAATAACAGTCAGCACCTCTGCAAATTACGCTACAGCCAAAGGTATGTAAACGTGTTTTCAAATGCACAATTTAATTTACATTCATTCAAACAAATTTGATTTCAGATTGAAAATTAATTTCTCTGCAAATAATTAAAAATTGCTACCATGGTAACCAAAAAAGAAAACATCTTGTTAATTTTTTCGTTTACAACTGGTTCGAAACTATAGAAAATGGGGTGCAAAGCGAACTAGATCCCATATGTCGAATTTAGGACTGGTTCTGGACAATTTCCAATTCCTATGACATCGCTGTGTTAAAGTCGCCAGTTGTTTGCATGCAAAAGAGATTTATCGCGAACTACTAGTGGTTCTAAATGTACTAGAAGCGCACCAGTTCTAAACTAGAGATTTCCCCACAGGGTATTTTTTATATTCCAGACGGTCCTAAGATGTTGAAATGTTAACACAAATTTAAGTTTTGTATTACCAAGCTATGAAAAAGCATCTGCGAAGCACAGAATAGAAGCGTATTTGAACGAAAAAGTCGCCGAACACATATCTATGTAAAGTAAATAAGTAATAAATAATAAGTAAGGGATGCATTCGATAGTTCCGAACTAGTTCTAAATTCTACAAATAAGATCTAGTTCGTTCTGCATCCCTTTTTCTTTAGTTCCGAACCATTTCTAAATTCGTCACTTTAGATATAGATTTCTAGTGAAAAAACTGAAAAAAATTAGATATTTAAAAGTACCACTTTTCGCCGATTTTGGACTGGTGGGGATCTAGTTCCTATCGGACTAGTTCCTTTTTGGCGATAAAGACCTAGTACGGAACTAGAAATTTGATTCACTAGTCCGCGGTTTCCCTGCAGGGTTATGTACGTGTGAAATAGAAGTATACGTTTTGTGCAATATGTTCATTTTTATATTCAAATAAAACTCATTTAACCGATGAAATAAATTACACAATTCACGTTTAATTCTTAATATTTCGTTTGAAATGCCAACTTTCCTGTAAATACATTACGTCGTTTAAAGTACAAAACCGCGTATCAACAAAATGCAAAACCGCGTATCGAGATAATGCAAAACCGCGTATGTGAATTACGTAAATTATCTTCTGGAGAGTAAAAACACTCATATTTCAAAATGGTTCTCGTTTTTATAAAGTAATCGCATACCTGGCCAGTATATTTCAGGACGAATGGATAAGGATTGAGCCAAGAGCTTGTGTGTGCAAATCCAATTTTTGGCAGCTAATGCCACTTACGCGGTTTTGCAGAATGACGATACGCGGTTTTGTTTTGTTATATGTAGCCTTTTCTAGAGTAAGACGATTCTCAGATATTATTGTTTCTGTTAAAGGAACATCTAATCAAAAAGGTAATTCTGAATATATTTTCACCTCAAACAAACATACAAAGATATCGAGCCCTAACCGCCAAAATAACGTAAGCGACATTTTTTCAAAATTTTCTTTTTGGTGCAGAAATATTCCTAGAGCATCTAGATGCATTTCTGCATCAAAAAGAAAATTTTGAAAAAAATGTCGCTTACGTTGTTTAGGCGGTTAGGGCTCGATATATTGTAAGTAACAACATGTTTCCCTCAACTCATGACACTCATATATCAGTCAGTTTGTAATATGTTTTTATGTACCTAATAAGTATAAGTTCTGATGCACTATAAATCTCATTCACACTTTGTAATATATGTATAATAAAAATAAGGGATTTATAAGAATAACTCATTTTATTATTTCCACGAACTACTAGAACAGTCTGCTTCAGCGATCGGACTTCTACCACATTGTGATAGATCTGCCACTTTTTTGAGCATCTACCACATCTACCACTCAAGGTCTGAAATCTACCACATATTCGCGTTTTTGCGTAGTTTTATTTTTGCTCGACATAATTTTACTAATTTTAAGAGCAAAAATTGTGTAATACTAAACACTATATGGTAACAAGAATGATATAATACAAGATTCTGCATTCCCGGCGACGATGACATCTCTAAGGTAAAAGTAAACAAAGCCGAATTGGAGGATAAAATAAACTGTAAAATATTAAATTTTCTCAGTAATAAATTTTTCGACAGAAAACGTGGTTTTATTGTGTTAAATTGCAAAATATATGATTTATAAAAAGAATTAATAGCGAAAATGTTAAAAAAAAGCGTTTTTGTGAAAGTATTAGCAAATTTAAGTGCATATAAAGTTTCTGAGGCGTTGTTTACTTTTACTTGAGAATCGTCAAAATCGGCAAATCCCAAGTAGCTATTTCTGGAACGTGCCACATTTGTTCGCTACTTCGTGATGTGATAAAAAGAAAAGCTGACAGCACTCCACAAGGTTGCAGAAATTTCTTAGAATATGTTCGAAAAATATCTTGATATGGACGGAACTGCTTTAGACTGTAAAGGAAAAAAATTGCCAAAATTCAACGCAATTTTTAGCAACTTCAATCCTGCACTTTATTATACTAAAATAACAATTTTTAGAGTCTAATTAAAAAGTTTGCAATTTAGGTGAAACCCTGCAGAATTCTTTCAATTTTTGCCACACATCACCACGTTTTTTTCCAGATTCTACCACACAGAATTTTTTTAAAGTCCGATCACTGGTCTGCTCCTATCTGTGGCTACAATGAGGGTAAGTTTACTGTATATTTCTGTCTGCGCAGTCTGCGCATGGGCCCGCTTGTAGTAGAGCTGGAATACTATCGATAGTACCGCCACTCGATAGTTTTCGAAACGATAGTTGAAAACATCGATAGTATCGATAGTACTATCGTGGTGAAAGGTATTGAATTGAAACGCTCAATTGCTTGAAAATTAAATAATTAGAAAATTTATAAAATCTATAAATTAATTTGTAAATTAAAGAGATTATATATTTTTTTTTTTAATTTGAGTGCAGCAAAAAAAACTTCTTATAATAATAAAATAAACTTATTAATTTATGCGTCTGAATTATATAACTTATATATATATATAGCAGATTCGGATTCTACATAAAATTCTAAGAAGAAAAGCCCTTTGGACCATAGCCCTAAAATCAATTTCGAGCCTGCGCAATTTTAAAAGAAAATATCTTTAATTAATACTAAGTCCATAATTAGATTAATATTTAC